TTCCCTCATTAATATCACTATCAACATGAATATAAAAGCGATCCAAATAGGTTGATATTAATGAGGGACAACTGTATATCCAGCGAAATATATTCAACGAAACAGTATGTTTAGTAAAACTGTATATCTTGCGAAACAGTATATTTAGTAAAACAGTATATCTAGCGAAACAGTATGTTTAGCGAAACAGTGTATCTAATGAAAGTGTGTTCAGTAAAACAAATAGTGTAAAATATAAAAAATAAAAAACTAAAAAGCGATGAAAAAAGACCAACCTTATACGTATTGATCGCGTGAAATCGGATTAATTACACAATTTTATCACGAGACTAATCAATATTTCGGGTGTGTGGTATCAATTTCCTTAATTAGAAATTAAGCTGTAGAAGATGTCATAATTCAGTAATTTGCATAAGAAACTGGTTTGTGACTAAATTTGAATTCTGGCCACATGAGTTCGTACGAAATTCACCAATTACTATACTTTTTTTCCTGCAATGTGGAGTATATAGGTTTTTCAATCGGTACGTATAAAATTTGGAACCGATTTACTTTTTTTTATGTGCATCGCAAAATATAAACTGAGGAATTATTTAACAATATCGATATCATACGGATTTTTAACAACGGATAATGACAAAAAATAAATTCAGATCATGGATCAAAAAGATTGGCTCAGACTATGGAATTGCTGGTCCTCATGGGAGGACGCGTACGAGTTATACAAAACTCGAAACTAAGAAGGCTCCTTTACTATTTTTTATTTTATTTTGAGTTCCTATTTTGGTTCGTATCACACACAGGCAAGTATTTTGTATGCAATCCCGTGTCCAAGTTAAATTGTACGGACAACGACCGTGTACAACACTGCTTTATTGAGTAGCAGCCAATAATGCCCGCATATTTTCTTTGACCTTGGAGTACAGGACAATCATCTGATTGTTAATCTTTTATATATGTTACACTTTATAAGATTGATAATCCAAATCAGTTAAGATGAATTATTATTATATTTATTAAATTATATTATAAAAATAGGCAATTTAATGTTTGCGCCCGTAATATCTAAAATTTTAATCATTACTGCATGAAGGCGACATATCAATATCAAGACAGCCTTCCAAAGCTACCCATACCTCCCTTGGAAGAGACTTTACAAAGATACTTATCTGTCGTCAAGCCTCTTCAGGTATTAATTGACACGTGTAATATCTTTTAATATCTTGTTTATGTATGTTTGGAATTCCAAGATTCACGCGTCGAATGCCTATCATAATATGAGTGTCGCTAAAAGAAAACCAGAAAATTTAAATATAAGTCATAATTAAATTTTCGGATTTTCTTTTAGCAACACTCATATTGTAAAAGTCCATAAGAATTAATAAACAAGGATAAAGGAGTAATCTTTGCCTAAAGTGTTATGAGAAAAAAAAAAAGAATAAATCGATTATTTATTTCACAAAATCGAATCGAATATATTGTTAACTTTTATCTTTCTTTTTTGACTTATAGATAGAGAAAGATCATTTGCAAACTATCTCTGCAGTGGAACAATTCCTTCAAAATGAAGGTCCAGAACTTCAAGAAAAACTTCAAAGTTATGCTACTGATAAATCTAGCTATATAGAAGAATTTTGGTATGATTCTTATCTCAATTATACCGATCCCGTGGTCCTTAACTTGAATCCATTCTTTGTTTTGGCGGATGATCCAACTCCTGCAAGAAACAACCAAGTTTCTCGTGCTGCTTCATTGATACACTCATCTTTGAATTTCATCCATGCATTGAGAAATGAAACGTTGGAACCTGATATGTTTAGAGGAAAACCTCTAGACATGTCGCAGTTTCAACGTATGTTTGGAACTGCTCGTTTACCAACCGAAAATGGTTGTAAAATGAATACTGATAATGAATCTAAGCATATTGTTGTTTTATGTCGTGGTCAATTTTATTGGTTTGAAGTTTTAAATGAAAAGAATGAAGTTGGAATTACTGAAAAAGAATTAATTGCCAATTTAAAAACAATAAAACAAGATGCCCTTGAGTTACCGAATGTTGAAATAGCAAAACAAGCTGTAGGAATTCTCTCCACTGAAAATCGTAGAGTTTGGGCTGACCTTAGAGTTATGTTAGAAAAATCATCAGAGAATACCGATTTTTTAAAAGTGCTTGATTCGGCATTATTCGTTGTCTGTTTGGACGAAGTATCTCCTAAAACTGGTGATGAACTAGCAACTAACATGCTTTGCGGAACATATGAAATACAAGAAGGTGTACAAGTTGGTACCTGTGCTAATCGGTGGTACGATAAATTACAAATTATTGTATGTGAAAATGGTTCAGCTGGAGTAAATTTTGAACATACAGGTGAGTTCTGCAAATTTTACAATATTCATGATGATTATATATGTATTAATTTTGCTCTTGGATAATTGTTATCGGATAAAAGGTGTTGATGGACATACTGTTTTACGTTTCGTTTCCGATATCTATACCGATACAATATTTCGTTTTGCGTCGACCATTAGTCCTCATAATTCAATATTTCCTGGAAGTTTACAAGGAAAACCAAAGAATTCAAATGGTGTCAGTCCTATTGATACCATGCCAAAAAAACTTGAATGGATATTGACTCCTGAAATACGCACTGGAATCAGATTTGCCGAAACAAGATTAAGTGATCTTGTTCTACAAAACGAGGTTCAAGTTCTTGAGTTCGAAAAATATGGAAAAAGTTTTATTACAAGTTGTAATATGAGTCCGGATGCATTTGTACAAGTACGTAAACACGCTTAATTTGTTAATTTATTTTGTTACAAGTATCTTATTTTATTTTATTTTTTTATTACATTTATCACTTTTAGATCGCTTTTCAAGCTGCTTATTACGGTCTATATGGGTCAATTGAAAGTACATATGAACCTGCTATGACTAAGGCATTCCTCCATGGTCGTACAGAAGCGATTCGTTCCGTAACAGCTGAATGTGTTGATTTTGTTAAATTTTGGTGGACTGATTCACCAGCTTTGGAAAAACTTAAACTTCTCCGAAAAGCACTTCAAGCTCATGTGAATTTGACAAAGATGTGTTCACAAGGATTAGGTCAAGATAGACATTTATATGCATTGCTGTGTGTTTGGCAAAGGGAAGTCGGTAGAACCCCTGACAGTGAAGAAAAGATGCCTTCGATATTTAAAGACTCTGGTTGGCAAACATTGAATCATACCGTTCTTAGTACAAGTAATTGTGGGAATCCTGCATTAAGATTTTTCGGATTTGGACCCGTAGTTTCTGATGGATTTGGAATTGGTTATATTATTAAGGATGATGGAATTGCTGTAAGTTTTATGTTAATCATTTTTAACTTAAGCTCATCATCTTTAACTTAATAATTATTAGATTGAACTTTAATTAAACTATTGTAATTTGCTATTTTCAGTTTTGTGCATCTTCCAAACATAGACAAACGCGTCGCTACCTTCAAACTTTGGAAAATTATCTTAATGATATACATTTACTACTCCGATCTGAAAAACGTATACCTGGAATTGTTAATTCTAATTCTAAACATGAAAAACGCATGAGTTTGCTTTCAGGGTATGGTTACTTTGATGCTGGTGGTATTGATCAATTACTTGAGCATCGATTAGAAGAAAAGAGAGGGGGTATGAAATCGGTTGGCAAGGCATTAAAATTGGTAGATTATTAAATGTGATTTTATATTTTTCATTTTTTATTTATTGGCTCTCTAATTTTATTCCGGGGTGATGTAGCCCGGCCAATATGGAAACTTTAGTTAAGACAATATAAAAAATTACTTTAAAACTGATTTTAATATAAAGCGCATAACTAGTAGCGTAAATGATGTCTGCACCAAATTTCCATCTTTATCTTTATTCTTTAAAAAAATAGGGATGGTATCACCACGGGTGATAAAATAGTTATATATATATAATTATCCGGAGCGTAGCGGAGGATATTATGGGGGAATAATAGAATGAATAATAGACCAGATTTTGTCCGCACCTATTTTTAGATAGATGATCATCAATTTATCAACTATATCAACCAATACATTTACTTTTATTTTTAACTATGCTCCGGATACCTAACAGTATCTGTTTTCCTAGTCTTATTTATTTTCATCTCTCTTTATTATTTATGTCAGATAATTTGTTTGTATATGTTATTCACTGGACCTTTGCAATGCGAGGAGTGCTGACTTATTGACACAGCGGCCGTAACTTACTGTCGTAACTTGAATAGTCGTATTTTTAGAACATTTTTAAAACATGATCTCCAATAACGTAATGTACATACACCAATTGCTGTATTTTACGTAATGAATCCTTAACTTTTAATGAATAAATTTACAATTTAAATTATATATCGATATAGTCGATATCTATACGTAATTTGCACACTTTTTGTAAACATAACGACAAGAAATTCATTTTACCTGGTGTTAAAAAATGACTTATGACACTACGTATAATGGCGTCAATTATATATACGACAGTTTTTTACGCATTATAAAATGACAATAATATAGCGATAACAAATTTCCATTATAAAATAACAAAATGATGTTGAAGTTGTACATGGTCACGTGGTAAGAGGTGTCTAGACTTTAGAACCCTGTCCTTCTATATATCAGATACATTTAAAATGGACCGGCTTTGATTTTATACGTGCACCATGCTTACAAAAAAATATATATATTTAGATATAAATACTCCATACGTACAAATATATCTTTTTGTTACGGTGTATCGGTATTGGAAAATTTTTAATTTTGTAATTTTGTGAATCTTAACTATCACTACGTATCGCTATTGAACTGTTAACGCTAAAGCCAAGTGGGTTGCACGTGATTTACTCCTAATTTATTTAGCTTATTCATGTATTCCTGGTCCTGGTACGTACGTACCACAGGAGCAAATCTTACGTTTTTGTTACTCTTGCGTTTACTTTTTTGATACACCAAACATAGCCTAAAACTAACCAATAGGATTGATAGATTGATAAAAAGTATAAAAATTTTAGGGTATGTTAAAAAGTAAGTGCATAAGTATCAAAAACGTAAGTTTTGCACCACAGGTCATTGCACAGGACATTGATGGCTTTGTCTGGCGACCTTGGTTGATAATTCGATTGGTCGATTAACATAAGACGGCATCTGTATCACGGTTTGGTAACTGTATTTGTCACGTTACGCACATTACGTACGTACACACGTACGCACGTACGTCAGACTCCGGATGCCCGTCAAACTTTATCCGGACTCTACATGACGTACGACCCAATTACGTACACTATCTATAAAAAGATAAAAGCATGTAGTTATTGAGAGGAGCAGATTCTCGCTCGTAGCGCAAGCTCCGAATAATATACAATAGAAACATTCGATATGATGGCCGAGATTAGTGAAGAGTTGATAACAAAATTTTGTAATATTACAAACGCGACTGCAAAAATTGCATCCGACTATTTGGCGGTACTTCATATTTTAACTTTTCTTTGTTAACATTCGCATCCGTATCCATTTATTACTTCCCATTTTTGTCGTTGTTTTAAACAAAAAAATTTTCTGTATTTATTAAAAAAAAGTTCTACTTTGTTCTAATTCTCAGGTGTCAGATGGAAATGTAGAACAAGCAATTACTTTATACCTAGAAAGTGGCGGTGTTGATCTTTCTTCTATCGGAGTAGTAAATCGACAAGAAACTTCAACGGCTATTGACGCCGTCGACTTAACAAACAATGATACATATTTCGATAGCGATGCAGAACTAGCAAAACAGCTTGCTCGAGAAGATTATTCCGAAATTCGGGCTCCTATCGCGCCCAAACGCGACATCCTTGTTAGGAATGACCACGATGACTTTAACAACATTTTTGAAGGTATATTCAACTTGTTATCGTGTCATTTTATTCCCCGATCCGCTTATTTTGGATCCGCTTACTTTATGTTATTTTGATTTTATAAATGTCTTTTTAATTTGTTGAAATCATTACCTTTGGTTTTTTTTTTTTAATACACATTTATTTATTAGAACGAATTATACCTGGTATACAACGTACCCGACGTACACGTGACGCTCATAGAACATTTGCCGACAGTATTGTTCCTGGTGACCCTAGTACAAGTTAGTGTTATCTATTTTAATACTTGATATGTTTTTGTTATTAATTTTATCAAATTATTAGGTACTCGTGAAGACAGAACTGATCAATTGGCTAATTTATTCAAACCTCCTTTCGAAATTATGCATAAAGACAGCTTTGAGAGGGTAAATATCATTATTTTTAAATATAATATAAAAAGTTATTTAACGATTTACTTAAATTATGTGTATTTTAATCATTGATCTAATACCTCAATCTTATAGACACGTACAAAGGCTCGCGATGAAGGCAAATGGTTGATGGTTGATATTCAGGAAGTAACCGAATTTAATTGTCAAAAGCTCAACCGCGATTTGTGGAGTGATCCAACTGTTCAAGATGTAATCAGAGCACATTTTTTATTTTTGCAAGTAAGTCAATACAAATACGACAATGAAATCACAATGAAATCTTAAGTATAAAATTTATTGTTATTGATAATTCTAAATTTATATATATATATTATTATTATTTAGTTTAATTCCGATACTGCAGATGGACGTCAATATATAAATTTTTATCCTATCGAGAAATACCCACATATAGCAATAATTGATCCAAGAACAGGTTTGTTTAGTATAAGTACTGGATTTCCTATGCTTATATCACTAATATTTTAAATTTATCAATCTTTACATCTTTATAGGTGAAAGATTGAGAGTATGGAGTGATCCTATGGAACCGACCGAATTCATAATTAGTGGTTTGTTCCTTTTTTTTTCTACAGAGATTTATTATTCTGACGCGTCATTTTATGTTTAATTCCTTTATTATTTGATAGTTACTGATTTCCTGGAGCGTTATTCTTTGACTGATTCAAAAAATCCAATGCCACAAACATTCAAATCCACTAAAGTAATAATGAACCTGATTCTTAAATTTTAACAATAATTCAATTATTTTTAATATGCATTTGTATCAACAAAATATTCCAGTCGTTCACTGAGATGTCTGAAGAAGAGCAATTAAAGAGAGCTTTGGAAGAATCTAGTTCTTATAATAACAGATCTGATCAAGAATCTGATGAAAGTGAAATGGAGGTAGAACCTGTGCATACTGAAGATACAAAAATTGGTATCTATGAATTTATTTTAGATTAATATTAAATTCTGTTTACAATTCAGTTTACTTTAGCCACCTTTACTAATTATTTATTTTAGCTGCTGAGAGTTCAGTTAGTTCGATGTTTGATACAATTCATCCTGTAGAACGAGCTGAAGTCTCTGGTGGCCCAAGTACGACAGCGATAAAATTCCGTCTTCCAGGTTCGATAAGTTGGCTCTTAAACGTCGTTTTATATAATTAATGTAATGTAATTTATTAAATTAAATATTTAATTATGTTAAGATGGTCAAAATATTAAGCGACGTTTTGATAAATCCGATCCTGTACGATACTTATTTGAATTCATCAAGGCTTCGGTTCCCGAAGCTCAAGAAAAGCAATTTGAAGTATGCACATGTTAATTTATGAGACTCATCTCTAATGATAGTATTTTAAAATATAACAATATATAAATTTTTTTTTTACTTTTTTTAGTTGATTTACAATAGAAATAGTTTGATTAATCAAGTTGAACGAACTGTAGATGAAGCTGAATTATCTAATGCTGTTGTCAATGTAGTATTGGGATAGAATAATAGCCAAAACTGGAAGACTGTTGAATTAGCATATTAAATGAATGCAATATTTGAAAATAACATTTTTCTAGCTATTTATATTATTATATCATTATGTGTTCCTTTTTTTATACTACTTCTTTACCATGCGTAAATACTCTTTAATGTATTGTTCTTTGTCATTAAAAAGTTACTAGATTGGTTTAGATTAAGATTATTTTTTTGCAATGATAAATTGGGTTGCTTTAATATAAACAACTTTATTTAAAATATAATAAATTTATATAAAGTATAATGAAAGTCACTTGTCGTTATTTAGTCATTTATAGGACGTCTGTTAAATTAAACGGCTTTTAATTAAATCATTTGATTATGATTAATTACGAGATTAATCAAAATAACTATTAATTTAATACTTCGCAATTGTGTATAAATGGAGTTGAAAAATTAATATAATTTTATATAAATTAAAGTTGTTAAAATCGAATTTTTTGTACGTATATACGTACGTGAGTTATTGACAGATTTCTTTTGTAACACAATTAACTTGGTTCAAAACAATTATAGATTCAAATTACACAATTTTTTTTTTTAGAAAATCAAAGATAATTGATTTTTGCCAAGTTTATTTATTTTATTTTATTTTATTTTTTTGATATATTAAGATATGTAGAGAATCTACTAAATATATAAGTATTTGCTTAAGTTGTATAATATATGTTTGTCAAATTTATTATTTAATAATTAAATACTATAGTATTAATTTAATAAATATTTTTTTATAAAAAAAGTCAAAAATTAAAAAATAAAATAAACAATATATTATAATTTAAAAAAATTTATAGCTAAAAAATATTTGTATAATAATTAAAAACAGATTAATAGCAAAAAAACAAGCAAAATCAAAAATAATTAAACTAGTAATAAAAAACAGATTAATAAATAAAAACAAATAGTATTAAAAGATTATAATATAGTAATTAAATAGTTAGCTTTAACTATAAATATTAGTTTTAGTTATAATATTTTTGTAAAAACAAATATAAATATTAAATAAATATTTTGAATAATACTGTAATAACTAAAAATAACTAAATAATGTTTAATAAATTCTATTTTAAAAATTTATTCTGTAATAATATAATAAAAAAAAATTATATTAGCAAAAATTATACAATTAAATAAAAACAAAACTATTGTTTTATTATCTATATATGCCTTTTATTTCTTTGTATAGTAAGATATAACTACTTTATAAACTATCAAAGATCAGCTGAATCTTGAAACTTTGTGTTAAAAATAGTATTTACAGCAATTTTTTTTATACTAAAATTAAAAAAATTTTTTATAATAATATTTTATACAGTTTTTTGGTATTCTAAATATAATTTAGTAAAAATATACTTATATTTGTTGTTTAATTATAAAACAACTGCTTTATTAAACATTTCAGAATTAGAGTTCTGAAACTATGTATTAAAAATAATGTAATAAAGTATTTTTTTTTGTATCTTAATAAAAAGAAAAAAAATTTATATTAGTAATTTGTGCAAGTCTTCAATATATAAGATTTTAATTTAAAAAATTCTTTAATACTTTGTTGATTAGTTACTATATTTAATAATATCTGAAACTAAAATAAAAGTCATTTATTTTTATTTTATTAGAAAATAATCATAGTATAATTATATTACAACTTAGATACTATATTTCAATAGATTTCTTGTCATAATCTTTGTTTTTTCTTTAACTTCCTATTATGTGAAATATCTTTTTAGCAAACTAGCATCATTATATCCAATAAAATTTCTTATAATCATAATATTTTTCTTATATATTTTGCAAAAAAAAATATTAGTATTACTAATTTGTTGAAT